CCTTCACAACAAAGACTCCTACTGCCTCCACCAGAACTCATCAGTTCTGAACCAGAATACAAAGTAGAGTATGTAGTAGATGCTAAGCTGGTGCACAGAAAGCTCAAGTTCCTTATCTACTAGAAGGGATACCTGGTTGAAGAACACACTTAGGAACTTGCTGAGAATCTCACTCATACTACTAAGGCAATCTAAGACTTCTATTGACTTCATCTGGGTGCTCTGTATCAACTCTGCCTCATGGATTTCTAAACCCTACTGTTCTGACTTATACTCAAGCTACTGACTAAGCCTAATGTTCACTAATTGGGACAATTGGTTTTAGAGGGGGGGTAATGTTACAATCCTCTACTCTCTTACCTTCAGTTCCAAGGGTTCTACACCCTTCTGTACCAGAACTCAGGACTTCTGTCCCTCAGGGGCACTATCTATAGACTATATGTGTACTGACTCTGACTACTCCTTCATTCTCTGTTCATTCTATAGTCTCTTACCCTTTGTCTATCCCTTCATTCTTTGTACCTTTATCTTTGACATTCCTTTCTTTCATTCTTTGTGGCTTATCATTCTTAGTAGCTTATACTCTCTGAGTACTCTTGTATAGTTTAGTATATATAGGCATACAAGATCAGACTGGTCCTGTAGTCTTGATCTTGTCTACTCTAGGTAGTCCTGTACTCTTAAGCTCACTCTATATACTCTACTCTTGTCTTACTCTCTCTCTCTGCCTGTTCTACAAGTTCTGACTATGTTCCAGTGTTTGCATTCTGTATTTCTGTTGTGTAGAATAGTTGTAGCCTGGGTCCTCTCACTAAGCCTTCAGGTCCCCTCTATGCTGTTGCTGACAGATTGCTTCATAAAATGAAGTCAGATCCAATTGTATTTCACTTATTTTAGTATTAAATTCTGTTAAATGAATAGCAATATTATCTTCATCCTTTTCACTAAGTACATACATGCATTTTGTTATGTGTTTATTCTCCATACATTGTTCAAGCTCAATAGTATGTTCTGTCAGTTTCTGTTTCCATTCCAATTGACATAGTTTAGGTTCTACTTCTTTTTTGGTTAATTTAACTTTGTTGTCCATTAAGTCTGTTAGTTCTACTGCTTTTCCTTTTTTGTTAGGATCAGCATTGTCTGTATCATTATTGTCCATTCTCATTATTCTATTGTCTGTTTTGTTATTTTTAATTATTAAACACTTGTTTGTATTGTTGTTTGTATTGTCTATTTTCTCCCCTTCAATTTGAGGAGGTTTACCTTCAAGAAATTGGATATTTCGTTTGATGGTGATTTTATTATTGTGCCAAGTTTTATGGCCTTTACTTTCATTGTCTAATCCTATCTAACAAGCAATGATACCTTACTGTTGTATTTTTGTAGGATTTTCATTGTAAATGATAATATATTGACCAAATTCATATATATTATCAATTGTTCTGTGTGTTCTGTAACATTTGTAATGTAGAGTATTGTAATTTAAAGCAGCACACAGTGTTCTATTATGAATATAGGTAATATGAATTGCTACTTCAGCCTATAATGTAAACAGTAATTCAGTAGATGTTAGATATACTCTTACACCTCTAAATATAGTTTTATGAGTTTGTTCTGCTATTCTGTTCTGTTGTAGAGTATGATGTACTGTTAATCTTCATTTTGTTCCTTGTGAATCTAAATATTGTTGGAAATCTTCACTAAGGAATACAGTATTGTCATCACTTTGTAAAAGCTTTATTTTAACTCTGTACTGTGTAAATATTTTGGTTGTCCATTGTACATATTGTATATATGCATTGGATTTTGTTTGTAATTTGAGCATTATGCACCAACAAGTAGAATTGTCTACAATTGTTAATAAGTAGCATATGTTCTTATATGTGTGTAGTTCAATAGGACCAATAATATTAATATGAATAAGATCTCCAAATTGATTTACAAGAGGAGATTGACATAGTTTTGGTATTGGTGTACATTTGATATTTGCTTTTATACATTCAATACATTCTTTTTCTTTGTAGTTCATTATTTTAGTTGATAGTACACTTGGTTGTGTCTTTAATAATTGTTTAATATAATTGTAACTTATATGTCTGAGGCATTTATGTATATTATAAATAGATAGTTCGTTCATTGTTTTTAACAAATGATTATTGTACAAAATATACAAGTTATTTCTCAATCATATATGTCTGATGTATTTGTTACATAGTGATGTTATAGTACAATTATTGTTTGTAAACATAAAAGAATAACCTTCCCTACATAGTAGTGCTTGACTTATGAGGGGAAAGTTCATTTGTAGATAGTAATAGATGTTTTGTAATGTTATGACACTTCTTTCTTGTATATTCTTTGGGATTTCGATACACATAGATCCAGCTTGATTAAGAGTCATTATTGATCTATTTGCAATAGTTACAATTGTAGGAGTTATGTTGTGTACATCTGTTAATTGAAATAAATAAGGAGTAGCATGTATTGATACACCAGAATCGAGTAAATCCATTGTTTGCATATAGGATTTCTTGTTAGCTATGATTGTATTTGTAAATACGTTAGTACATACTCAGGAAGTGTATTGTTCAAATTGTTTGTCCTGGTTGCTTGGAATAAGAGTGTAGGTGTTATTGTTCATTTCAACATTGCTTTCCTTTAATTCAACATTGTTTTTATTTGGGTTTTCAATAATAAATGTGTTCATTGTGTTTTCTACAGTTTGGTTTGTTTTATACACAATGTTAGCTTGATGTTTGGCACGTGCAAGCTTTGTAGCTTCAGTAGGAGGTTTACAGCATTCCTTAGAGAAATGTCCTGTTTTTCTACAATTGAAACATTTTGCTTTTGTCAGATTGAACAGATTTGGCAGATTGAATTTCCTCTGCTTATTAGCTTTATACATTGTATTAGTGTGTACATTATTCTTTGTCCAATTATTGGAATCTTGTGCTTGTTTAGCACAGTAATTGTTGTAGGTGTTCTGCAATGCAAGGATTAGTTGCTTCAGTTCAACTTTCTTATGTTCATCAACTGGTTTGCCTTTGTTTTGGGCATCAGTAGATTGTATTATTGTATTTACTATGTGTGTATATTGCTCAGGAGTAGCAAGCAATATTGCTACTTTGTATGTAGAGTTGTGTGGTGGATCACTGTTAGCAGACAGAGTTGTGTATGCTTCCTCAAGTCTGTCTAATGTATGTCTGAAATGTTTTACATAGTCTCTACAAATAAACAGTGCCAATTTGTTGATAGCCTTTTTACATACTGTCTGAGGGTTAAAGCATTCTTCAAGTGCTTTCATTAACTGAGGGATAGACATATCAAAATGCATATAGTTTGCTAATATTGTGTCAGTAATGTTATTAACTATGCATACATGAATGGCCTTAGCCATCTCCCTCTCAGCTTCATTCTGTGGTTCATCTTTTAGTAAGTGTTTGAAGCACATAGCTGTGACACTAGAAACAATGCAGTAGTGCCACATCTTGTAGTTTGCTTCAGTCTTAAGCATTGTGATGTTTTGACCAAAGTATTTAGGTACATTAGCTGGTTTACAGTGTGTATCTGTATGTGGGGGAACCATGATGCAAATGTGTGCAAATGTATGCAAGTAAAGGGTTTTGAGTGTACAGTGGATGTGTGTATGCAGGGAGTGCAAGGCTCATAACCTGTTAAAAGGGAAAACTTAAGGGGGGCATGCATAGACAAGGGGTGAGGTGATGATTGACTGCTCAGTGTCTCTTGTCCTTATATTGTATGTATTCTAACTGAGACATTATGAAGTCATTGTCTCATGGTTTGTCTGTTGATGAACTAATCATCTCATAATACATTATTTTAGCTTTCTTGATCAAAGTGTATGAAAGCAGTAAGGCCAATAGTGCTTGGAAAGCGAAGTTTGTAGTATAAGTTAGAGTAGAAGAACTGTTGAATCTAGCCATTTATCCTTTTCAAACTACCTTAGAAGCAAAGAGAACATTCCTTTACTATATTCACAAAGACTATAATATTGCTTACTATTTCAGAGTGCTATAATTTAGTTAATGCCAGTTAGTTAGATCTGGAGTCTTATCTCCCCTAAAATCTACAAAGTTGCTTGATAGGGAATATTCCTTTGCTTTGGTTAGTAGCACTAGCACTGTCTATGCAACTTGCTATAGTTAAAAGCTTTGTCTAAAGGCACAATTAATTACTTTACTTAATTAAGCTAGATTAGGCATCTATCTTTTCAAAACTCTGGAGTTGCCACAGGATAAAGAGGCTAGTTCTTTACTTAATGTAGTTGCTAATTATATGATACTAACTATATTTGAGATCACTATTGTTTATCTTGCTTTACTTATTTAGCCTTACAGTAAGATATCCTCACTAAAGCTACAAAGTTGCTGAGTAGCCTAGGAGGTATTCTTTTGTGTTGGTCGCCATCTGAACCTATAACTCACTAATCTTAAAACTACTGTAATTTGTCTTGCTTTCAACTTTGAATTATTTTTTGATTCTTTGCCTGGATATGTATCCACATTCGTACTCGATTCATTGCTGGAGTCGGAGTCTGCCTCTTCAGTTCTCGCTTTGGCCTGTTGCGCAAAGAAGCCTGTATTGCCCTCCCTCTGCCATCCAATGAAGAGACACATCTCTCAAACCTGTCGCCCCGACCACTTCATCATGTACCATACTCCCCACCCATCCGCAGCTACCACCTCTATCCACTACAATCCTCTCAATCGGAGACTCTCTGAGATCCACTAGAACACCATCATCAGGAAAA